GGAGAAAGGGAGAGATCGCCCTTGGCCAAGTGATTTTCTGGTTCAACTTTGGATGAATTTTTAAAGAGTTCATCAGCTGAGTGCAATCAGTTTGGGAATGCTTCTTATTCCCAAGGAAATGGGAGGCGAAATGAAAAAATAAAAAGACAATTAACAAAACAGAACCACACAAACAAGGATGAAAGAAAATCGAAAGGAGAAGCAAGAAGAAATTAATTAACAATCGAGGCTATGAAAATGCAATGAAAATGGATGAAAAACAGATTGCAGATGCGTTTCTCTCTGCTCCTTTTAGTGCCAATGAAAGAAATAAAACAAAAGTCAGTCTTAATAAACATCCACCAGCAATCAAAAAGCACTTTATTGGCAACACAAACGCTTTGCCACCAACCCAAGTGAAAGGAATTGGGGATGGAAAATGTTGGGAAAGGATAACACAAGTTGCTCTTGTTAATTTATGATTTTTTAATAGCAACCACTAACTCGTGGGCTGGCCTAATGGGGCGTGGCGTTGTCCGTTCTTGACACAATTACTGAATCAGGAAAATTTAATTGCTGCTGCAGTGGAGCGGTGAGAGAGGTCCTTGAAGGCAGGAGGAGATTGCTGGTGGAAACTGCGGCTGTTTACCAGTTGATTATCGTCCTTGTCGGCTGTCTCCGCTGTTTGTCTGCTCCTGTTTGTGACGTGGATAGCTCGTGGTTGTCTTGGTCGGATGTCCTGTCTCTCTCCTTGTGGATCCTGCAGATTGAAAACTGGCCATTGTTCCGCTGTTCCTCTTTCCCTCAATGCTGAGCACAGAACTGTGGCTTTAACTTCAGTAAGGAAGCATGGCCTCTCTTAAGCCCCCTGCCAATTCCCATAGCCGTGATTTGCAAACACTTTAAATATGCCAGAGGTAGAGCTAGCAACCAACTCCCCATAAATTCCGGAACACATTTTCCCCTTCTATGCTCATGTAGTTGGTGGGCGAATTAATGCCGGGCAGTCAAGGATTAAGGATTTCCCTGCAGGAGGGATTTAAAGGGTGAAAATACCGAACTCACATTCATAACCGATTAAAAATATGTATTTTTCCAGAGAGTGTTGGAATGCCCAGTGCCAAGTTTCACATCGAAGTGAATTTGGGATATCAATAATTTATTCATATGTGGAAGTGCAGGAGGGAAATGGGAAATGGGAGATGGTAGATGGGAAAACCCCACTGCGCTGCCTTTTCATTAACAATATACCAGAAAGAGTGGGCAACAGCACTTGGCCACGCCCCCAATTTGTGCAGTAGGCGCCATATCCTTCCGTTTTCGAGGCTGACCAATTGAACCGGAAGTTCAAATGCGGCCAGGGGAAGGGGAAGGGGATGGAAATCGGTGAGAGGAAAATTGCGGTTGAGCAGCGATTAAAGCGCCCCAAATGCAATCGAGTGTTAATCCCACGCTCATAATGGGAGATAATTAATTGGAGGAGTGGGTCCATTAAGCCGGAGTGTTCACTGTTCGATCTACTAGCCACAAACCTAATACTTGCCTTGGCCCACAATGGAAATGTTTAGCGAACTTTATTCGCCGCTCGAACAGCTTCCGTCCCATTTCCTAAGCCATTTGCTCTCGAGGATCTCAGTCCGCCAAGCAGGTCAAGTGAAATGCTCTACAAACTTTTCTCCTTTCCCAGAACCTACCATTTTCCCACTTTTCTTTCGCCACACACAACACATCAAACAGGGAACACACAATGGAGCTGCAAGTCAAGAGAAAGTGCAACTTGCGACCTGATTCCTGGGCTTCTCCTACTTGGACACGTTCTGATGCAGATGTGTGTGTCTAAGGATTCATGCCACGCCTACTACGCCTTCGTTTCTGGGCTACTCTCAAATTTATGCAGAATTCGCCAGCATTATTACTATGAAATTTTTTGATAAATGCTGCCAATTACGTGGAAGCTTGACAGGAAACGGATTTCCCAGGAAACAGGGAAAATGACAGGGGAGGATAGGGAAGGGCCCTCATATCGATTCGGATTCGTATTCGCTTTCGGACTGTGGATGATGTTGGTCTGCCATGGGGATTTGGCCTTAAATGCTCCTCATTTATTTTAACACCCAGCGAGAGTCGAGAGCCCACAGCTCAAATGTAATATGAGTGCACTGAGAGAAATACAGAGTGTGTTTGTACCTTTAATTTAAGTTTGTATATTTCTCCAGAGAACTTAATTTATATTAAAAAAGTGATACCAACATTCTTTCTCTGTAAAGTAGGTGTTCCGCTGGATATTTTTCTACTTTGAGCCACCGCCCGTGGCGTAAATATCTGATTAGGCTCCAGCCCACAGAAACTCCTCCCACTGGTCCTTGGCAATTTTTCCTTTTCTAAGAAACCCAACAAAGGGAACAAAGAAAATGGTGAAAATAATCTTGGGCAGCATCTGGAGGAAAAGCGAGGACTGGTCTGCTCCCTTTACGATTGAGGACAAGGTTAAGCATTCGGCAGTAAAATGGCAACTTATTGTTTGGAATTGCCACGAAAACAAGGGAAAGGTGGAAAGTGTTTCATTCTTGGGGTTCTCCTTGGGGAAAACCGGTTTGGGAGTGGGAGAAAACTGCTGTTCTCAGGAAATATTGAAAATGTTTGACCAGTCACATAGATTATACTGGCTATAACCTGGACAATTAGTTGCCTTATTGATATCTGTGGCTTGCTGTTGGGTCTGCTCCTTCTGGTTCAGTTTCTCTTTTAGTTTACCTACTCCTAATAGAATCCACTTGACCTGCTCCTGTCTGCAGCATCCGCATCCTCATGAACTACTGTGGTTGCTGTGGTCATCCTGGCAGTCGTTTCCCATTCCTGACACTCCACTTCAGCTGTACGCCCTGTAAATGTCCTTGTCTGTGTCAGTTATCCTTTGTCCTGGTTTGTTGCTTCTTTGTGTGGTTTTCTAATAACTGATGGAAATAATTTGCTCATTTTATGCAAGCAATTTTCCGATGTGGTTGTAAAGTCGGAAAGATACATTTAATTTGATTAACTGAAGCACATAATTAAGTAGATTTCAGTGCTTGAAATTTGAAAATTGAGCTTTGCTGAACAGCTATCAATAACTTTTTCAGGAATTTACTCAAATTAATGACTTGGTTTTTGGATAACTTAAATTTAAATTCATTTCGGCAGAGGAATCACTCAGAGCTTATTAAGAAATTCGTTCCGATATGTTTGTCGATTTGGGTTCATTTTCCGAGAATCCTTTCTGTTTCTGCTTGCATAATTTAAATCGCATTATTCGCAATCTGTTTGAGCAGCAAAAAAAGAGGAGCTGAAAGCCTTCCAAACGAATGCACAAAATGTATCCTCTCTTGTGCCCAACAAAGCATCCGTTTGGCAAATTTATATCTATAAATTTTTCTGTTTGCCGATCCCATTCCTTCTCAGTCAACCATAAATAACATAATCCACATAAACATTCTTTTTTTTTTGGTAAAATTTCAACAATTGAAGGTTTGAATGCATTTTATGTTCTAGTTGGCAGTTTTCATTTTCATTTTCCGCTTTCCAATTCGATTATCTTAGTAATTCTTTTTTCATCAGGATGTTTGCCTACCTCCTAACGTCCGTTAAATTCTATGGATTTTCCCTTTCCGCTGGCGAAACATTTAAATTTGGATTCATTGAGGTGCAATAAATAAGCTCGGCACATAAATCATTTTAACAGCAACTTAAGCACGGAAAATGAAATTTTCTCCGGCTATCTGCAGTTTCTCAGCTTCACACGCAAAATGAAAATAGGGCAATGAAATTGAAGTCTAAATCGAATATTTAAATGCTTCTTTTTTTGAAAACATTTAATGTATATTTTATATAATTTGAAATGATTTTTCTTGTTAATTAGTCTTAGCTAAATAGGATATTTTATAGACAAAATTTTTTAAAATATTTTAAAGCATATTTGATGTTAAAAATTTAAAAGTTTTCTTGGGATTATTTATAAATTCATTTAATATTTTTCTCTTTTAGTCCTTAGAACAAATTGACTTAACTAACAGAAGCTACTCCTCTGTTTCACATTTTATGGTGATTCATAAAACATATTTTGCCTGCCTTTGGCCAACACCAAAGGATTCCAAGGAGATGCCCTGAAACGAGTATATATAAATTTCGTTCGTCTAAGGACACCTTGGGGAGAGATTTAAGACGATTGCCGAGACGGGTTAGAGACCAAGACTAATTGGCCAAAAACAATAAAACTCAACTCCCTTAAAACGGTGAAAACATTTGACTCTCTCTCTCTCTCTTTTTCTTTTTTTTGTAAAATCTTTCTGTCTCTGTCTCTGTTTCTCTTAAAGTTTTTAGCCAAATGTTTGCCAGTCCATTTATAAATCCGAGCAGCGCTTTGCTGCTCTATGTGCCTAGGGGATTTTTCCTTGAACAGGACAAGGCAAATATTGAAACTATAAAGCGTTCGCTTTTTGCTCTACCCACCACCTCTCTTTTTCGCACCCCGCCTATACCTATCTCTTTCTATGGCTATCTATATATATGTATGGGTGTGTGTGTGTGCTGGGTAAATCTGCCATAATCCTAAAAAAGTTTTTGCTGGTGAGTGGGTTAAAAGTAAGAGCAAACTGCGACTACGAGTACATGGTACATAAGCGGCTTATGCCATTAGTTCGAAATCGCAGTTGGTCCACCTGCATATCCATCCATGGCATGGCCGTATACTCGTATATATCCCTCAAAAAGTTGACCCGCAGGTGGTCCATTGGCATTTGCCAACTCATGCGGCAAACTTTTAAAGACTCGCCCCCAGCGGCAGTGGCCACTAATTGGTAGAAGTTCGACGTGCAAAATCAAAAGTTATAACTCGCAGATAATTGGTGGGGGCGGCAGCTGCCACAACCAGAAGGCAGTTTTCTGTTTAAAATGATTCCTGGAAAATTCACTAGAGGTTAGTTTGTGAAGTTAAGAAACAAATGCTGCTGGGGCTGCAAGATGGGAGGTTACTGGTGTAGGTTTTTAATAAAAATCCTGGATTCAACCTCACGGCTTGTAAAGGTCTTCTAAGATATCATTTATATACATATGTATATATAGTATTTATTTTTGTATTAAATTCAATGAAAATCCTAGACGGCGCACTGACAAAATGGTTCCAGCAATGGATTCTGGATGCAGTCGTTGTTTTTGTTGCCATCGTTTCCAACTCGAACCACCTCTCCGACTAGAGATAGTGTACTGCCCCTCCTACGGGTCATGCCCTCGAAATAGGCATTTCCCGGCTTGGTCTTCAAACGCACTATAATGTCCTTGGCGTCACATTTTTTGCGGTTCCAAAAAGGTCCTTGTTCGGAATACGGGTGATTGTGTCCCTTCTCGATGCTGTACTCATTATCCCTTTCGGGGGCAGCAAAATAGGCAGAAACTATCGAGTCCAATTGCAGGGGAATGCAAACAGGATATTCCGCCATTAGCTGATTAACATAATCTATAATAATGCTGGCCGATTTGGTGACCATTCGGTTGTTTTCAGGAAGGGAAACTTGCTTGTGGCACAAACAGAATTTACTGGGTATTTGGGAAGTGCTGCAGGTCCTCCACGTCGGAATGGGTAAGAAAAGGCTAACTGCCTTTGGGGTTTTCGAACCCTTGAGCTTCCACAATTCTTCAGACTTCTGGGTAATGGGATTATCTTTTAAAGAATCCAGATTCAGGATATGTTTTAGAGTCTCGTGAAGATCATAGGTGGTTATCAGGCTGTGGGCATTGCCAGCTAAATTCTTAATAGCCAAAGGGTACTTAACCCTCATCCAGTCGGGATATAAGATGGACAAAAAGGGCTGGCTATCCTCTATCATGCCCTGATAGCTTCTGCGAAAGCGTCCCCATCTCAGACCATGATCGGACATGAAGAATATAATAGTGTTATTGGTAATACCGGCGTTGTTAAGGCTCTTCAGGAATCGCTCAAATCTTTCATCAGCAAGTCGTGGGGAATTGAGGAACTCATGAAAGCCATTGGCCCACCAGTAAAATGAGAAGAATGGATATCGTTGCTTGTGCGGCAGCAGTCTATCATTCATTTCGAGAAGGACATCCATGAAGGTCCTTCCACCCACGCAGTTAGTAAACGCCATGGAACTCTCCTGTTTAATGATATAAAGCTCTACCATCAAATCATGCAAATTATGATCTGCCGTTGGCCGCTTGAAGCCTGGCTTTCCATAGTAAAACATTGAATATATGGCCATGTCCTCGGCAAAACTAGTGTTGTAGCCAGCCTCCTTGTAATCCTTCCAAATTAGTGGTAAATTATCCATGCATTTATCTTTTTGCCAATACTTATCGGACTCTGTCTCATTCAGACCCGTCAGCATAGGAATCAGATTTGGATAGGTATTCGAACCGATCTTGTTGAAACCCCAAAACTCCACATGGGACATATTCTGATGCATATACTCTGCTGTCTTTGGCATTTGACGAAGAAAATTGAGATGAGAAAGGGAATCTAGGCCCACGATCATCACGGAAATCGGTGGGGTTTCAATATTTGAGTTGAGTTCCTCATCCCAGTATTTTAAAGTTGGTGGAGCTTTCGTCAGCAACGATTCCGGTGGTGGTTGGACGAAGAAATGAGCATCCTCAGTCAAGGATTTGTTCGTGAGACTATTATAGCACTTCACACGCAATTCCCTCACACCTTTGGGAACTTTCACGGCATACGGAAACTCTAGAGGAAACTTGGTTTTTTGAGACAGACTGGCAACCCAGCGGCCTGTGATCTTCACCCGAAACCAATAGCAGTGTATCTGCCAATCATTAGTTAAATCGTTCTCCTCTAGAATCTTATCGATGTCGCGTATCAGCTTCAGGTACCAATCTCCATTCGCCACCTCTGTTTTAAACCAAGTCTGATCTGGACACTTGAGATAGAAACGCTTGTCTTCCCATTCCCAGTTTGTATATTTGGCAATTGTGGGATTCATCACATCCATGGCTATAATCCGACAACCGTCCGTGTTCACAAAGAATGCGTTATGTATTTTTCCGCCAGTTTCGAAAAACAGAGTGTCCATAAAAAGAACGGCATAGAGGACCAGAGCCGCCAGTATTACGCCCAAGCAAAATTTTCGAAAGCGTTTTTCGCCCATGTTTTGAACAGATATAGCTCACCGGAATGGGTTAGAAAATTATTAATTTAAGAAAATACAAATTAGTAAGAATGCTATCTCAGAGTTTTCTACGATTCCAAATCAGTGTGAATCTTAATGTGCTAAAGTTGGAATAATCCGAAGGGAGAACTTCGTGGTAACTCTTAACACTTATGTATGATTTTGTAACCAAAGTCTTGTAAAAACATCTCTTGTTGTTTTTCCCATATAAGTTTCTTTGGCTTGCCATGAGTATGTAAGGTGACTTTCCTCTTAGGTACCGCAGTATTTTCCGTCAAATAAAATCCCAAGTCTCGCATCCACATCCTCCTGGTGGTGGCTAACCAGGTGCCAACAGTCGTTTCGTTTGGTTCCACTGCAGTTGCTAAAGTCTGAAAAGAAATGCGACAGCTGCAAGTCATCAACTCGACAGCGCCAAGAGAATTGGCAACAAAGTGCCAAAAGAGCTTCGTGGATGGGGTGGGGGGTGGAGTGGCGTGAAAACCCTGCACTTCTGTCTCATATTTTTGTCATTTTCCCAGGCGCCATTTTGTTGGCTAGCAATTTAATTTCATATTTTATGCAGTCAAAATCCGCGCAGAGCATGCGACAAAAAAGGTTATTCTCTTCTTTCGTCCTTTTCGGTCATGCTCCTGAATTTTGCTCTTGCTTCTTGCCAAACTACTGCAGTCTCAAGGGGTTAATGGTAGGGGACTGGCAGAGGGTTAAGGTTCAGGGAGCTGGCTTGACTCTGGTCACAATAAAGTCAGACTTGATGGCGACACGGTCTTCTTTTTCTTTGGCGGGCTGATAGCAAATGAATAATGAGGTGACATCAGGTTTTTTCTGCTTAAATGAGAGGGCTTTATACAAATTTGTATTTTTATAATTATTATGAGATTAGAAATTCCGGAAATAAAATACTTTTTGTTTATAGAAAACTTAAGGTTAAAGCGATAACAATGGGTCGAACACTTCCTAATCGAGACCCTTAGTTGTTAGAGTTATCGAAAGAGGCCATAAAGTTCAAACGTGTGAGTCATCAGCATCACTTTAATATTTCCGAATTCCTTATCTCTTTCCCTCGCTGCTTTTCAATGGAAATTAAGATTTAAAAAGCTTCAAGTCCCAAAAAGATTTCTGAAAGAAAGTAATAAAGAAAAAACAAAAAATGGGCTCTTTATAGAACATTTTTTGAAGTTTTTAGTTTACTTTTACTTACGATCTTTACGATTCATCCCACGTAGGTAACGTGACGTAGGGCGTATAGTCGTAGGTGAAGAGTTTGGGAGCCAGAAATCCACCATATCCATCACGTCCCTTATAGTAAATCCCGATTCCGGAGAGCGGAACTGGTGGGTCTGAGACCACGTCCTGGATGTCAATGAATGGCACGGTGCTCTGGGCGGCATCTTGTTCAAAGCCAGTGTTGGTGAACTCAATAAACTGATTGTCACCCGAGAATGGTATCGATTCCAAGGAGGATTTCGATGGTATTTGGGGGTCCATTAGGGGTATCCTTTCCCTAAAATATTATAGAGGATGATCATAAAATTTCTTTACTTGTATATAATAAATCACCTGTGTTGCTTGTTCCCAGCATTCATCCAGTAGCTGGTTTCCTTCGGATTGATGAGGTATCCGCTCTGGAAGTCCACTTTGCTGAATTGAGCCTCCAGCTGAAGGTGGGTTCCATCAACATGAAATCGCAGACCAGTAACAACCAAATCTTTATCCGCTTTTACCACATCCAGATCAATTGCTCGTTGGTCGTAGGTCAGCATATGGAAATCAACGTTCTTCTTAATATTATTGTCGAATATAGTATAGGATTCCAATGGTTTCCATTGGACAGTGCTCTCCTCAATGACTCCAAGGGGCAGAAGCCTGCCCTCCTGAATTTGCAAATGGAAAATACTATTTTCCTTTACAAAACGCAGACCCGTCACCACCCTGAGGAATACGTTTAAGTTCGTTAATTCTAATATCACATTACTAGATTAATTCACCTGTTATTTTCCACATCGGCGATCACAGGACGAAGGTTGAAGTACCGGCCTGAAGGAACAACTTGGTCATCGCACAGGCAAAGGCAGTAGCTACATTCTTGGAAAATCCAGCGATTCCAACTTTTTACACTACTCAGCCATGAGGAACATTCACTCTTTTTTCCGTGGACAAGGCCACTTTCGTATTGAATGAATTCGTAACGCCTATAGGATTGTATACTCGACTTACAAACCTCCATATCCGACTCCACATAGCGACAGTCGTACAGCCCACCAGAGCATTTTGGCTGCTCGGCGCAGAACTTATTATCGAAACAACCCTCGGTTTTGGCAGACTTGTAGTAGCCACAGTCACGACTGCATGTTCCATCACTGTTTAGGTCCACCTCGTTCACTACGTAACCCTGCAATAGGCGGGTGACCTCCTCATAGGTGATCCCAGATAAGTGCCGTTTTGGATCGCAACGCCAAACAGTACGATCTGCTTGGCTCATCAAGTCCTTGATCTTTGACAGAGTGTCTGGCGTTCTTCGCTTGTATGCCCCCCGATTTGCTAGCTCCTCTTCGGTTGATCCACTCTGACCACGTTTCCTAAGGTACATCCACGACCACTCCACCAAGGCGTGGGCCTTCAATTCGAGTATGATGTAGTCCACATACAGCGAATAAAGATATTGCTGAGGTGACTGTGACGTTTTGCAAGTGCGCGTACTAAGCTGCTTGTAAAATGGTAATTTACTATTAAAGTATATTTTTATATTAAGAAATAGTAAATGAATTTAGTACCTGGTTGCCTCTAGCCAAACTGTCCTATTAAATCCTCTTTTCCGAATAAAATAAGGTTGATGTCTTCCATGGCTTGGAGATTCTCACCTTCCCTTGTCGCAACTTGCGCCATGGCCATGCTTTCCATTGTTATAGTTGCAAACTCAAACACCTCAAATAGTCTCATCTGATTGTAATGCCTGGAGATCCATTCCCATTTCTTATATATATCTATCAGAGAGCTAACGCCAGGAAGTTTTTCATCTAAATAGTCGTTTGAACCAAAGGCATAGGCAGGACCATTTCTGTGCTGGGGTAGGTTAATGGTTAATGGTAGGTTACTATGGTAGGAACTTTAAATATACTTAACTCACCTGGATTCTGTTCAACTGCGTTAGATGATCAATTTGCTTATAAATTTCCTGTAAATGCAACATTTCGTCTTCCCCCATTAAATTATAATATTTTTTAGCATGTGTATGGTTTTGAAAGGCCAAAAGTGTGGCAAAACCCAAAATGAATCTTAGTTTCATCTCAAGAGTCGATCTCCTTGTCGGTCCGCTGCTTTGGAATTAATAAACAAAATCAGCGTTTGCTAATGCTCTATATATGAATCTTATCTGTCAAATTAAGCTGCTGACCTATATGACCCAAAAATGCTTCATCATCATGTTCTCCATTAAATGTTTATATTTGTTTTTATTTTCTTAAGAATTTTATTTAAATGCTTACACTTAATTTTAATTTGTTTAAATAATAAATTTAAATAAGTTAAAAAAAACTTATAAATTTTTTAAATTTTTACATATGGTTTATCAGCCTCAGTATCAAACCAGTTCAAGGCATTTGTTTGTTGGCTTTTTGCTTTAGTCTTTTACTTTTGTTTGCCGTAATTCGGCTAAAACAGTTTGGTCAACAATTTGGGTCCAATACACTTAGTTGTTAAAACTAGCCAGAAAGGCCAGAAAGCTCGCATCATTTCATATTTTTGAATTCCTTATCTCTGTGCCTCTTTATCGATTGTCCAGTGAGATTTTCATGACTGGTTTGAGTCATCGATAATGCACTGCCTTATCGATCGGCGCTTGTGACCAAAGAGCTAAAACACTCGTTCGACCTGCTTTTCGTTCGTGCAAAAAGCTGTTTTGAGGAAGATGGAGACTATTTTGAATAAAATGTTGATGTGTTCTGTTTTTTCCATTTAAGTGGTCTTCACTTGGAAAGTACCTTGCAGCTTATATTTATTCTCAATAAGAAATCTAAGAAATAACCTATTTTTGATCATTCCGATTCATAGACTCCCACGTGGGCAGTGGAACGTAGGGTGTATAGTCGTAGGTGAGGAGTTTGGGAGCATCCATCACGTTCCTTATAGTAAATCCCGATTCCGGAGAGCGGAACTGGTGGGTCTGAAACCACGTCCTGGATGTCAATGAATGGCACTGTGCTCTGGGCGGCATCCTGTTCAAAGTCAGTGTTGGTAAACTGATTGTCATCCGAGAATGGTATCGATTCCAAGGAGGATTCCGATCTGCCAGATTCAGATGATGAACCTGAAGGTTGTTTCATTATCATATTTTTGATTACTTTTAAAATCTCTTTTAATTCTTTTAAATTACCAATTAAATGACTTTTTTACTCTAATAGTTCTAACAATGTTTATACTTAAAAAGAAATCATTTAAGAAATTCAAATTAAAGAAAAACTTTTGGGAATTTCTCTAAATGTATGCATACGGTCTGAGGGTGAAACCAGTTAAAGCAATTTGTTTGTTTGCTTTTTGTTTTTGTCTGTTACTTTTGTTTGCCCCACTCTAGCTGAAACAGTTTGGTCAAAAATTTAGAGTCAAACTTCTGGTCTTGGCTCTTGCTTATGTTTGGTCATAGCTTATGTTGTGTTTGATGTTGTTAGATTTCATTTAGCCACTGGCATGAAATGTTATTAAACTTTCAGTTTATCTTGTGGCAGAGACTTGTTGTAATAACTTGTTGCCGGCCCTCAAATTAAGTTGATCAGAATTTATGCCAAACGAGTTACTCAAAGTGTTAATCATTCGACTCTCTGTCGATTTATTTAAATTAAGTACCCGAACTGGTCCTTAATGAGCCCCACTGCGTATGAGCAATATTTGTCTAAATTACGCTCCTTATTTTTTGCACTTTCTTTTTGGCCAAATTGCTTGCAGTCAATTTGTTCAAACGCTTGGCTGCTTCTCAGCCATCACGATAATGTTGATGATGATGGATTTATGTCTGCCATTTGTTTTAGCTTGATTTTTTTTTTGTTACGTTTTGGCCATCTCCCTTGCTGCTCTTTTTTTGTGATTTTCCTACCGCTCTTACTTTGGTTTTTGTCGGCTGTTGTGCGTTGTGCGTCGGCTGTCATCGGCAGCAAAGTGAAAAGTGAAGAGTGAAATGTGAGATGCCTTTGCGAAAATGCCATAAATCAATTTTCACAATTCACAAATTGCCCCAACACGAGAAAAAACGAAACTCGGCTGACTCTGTAAGCCGAGAATGTTTTTGCCCGCCAGGATTAATTGAAACAACGCCAACTCGGCGTCTGCATGGAAAATCAATCTGGATGAAAGCCGCTTTAAGGTGGAATCATCAACTTGAACAGGCAGGAAATTGAAGTAAATTGCTAAGTTAAACAGGGGATAAGCTGTAATCGTAAATCATCTTAGGATGTCAAAAGGTTAAAGGTCGGAGTTTTTGTTAGGGAAATTAAATTATTTAAGAATTTGTCAGGAATGTTTAGGAGATAAGATAAGCCAAGAAAAAAAATCTAAAAAAAAACTAAAAAAATTTTCATTAACATAAAAATTTAAAGAGTTGACTGATCTTAAGGTCTTTCTCCCATCCTACTATCAAACTCTCATGACATTTCATACTTCCTTAAGACACTTATAATTGAAACCAAAGCTACGTAAAAACGTCACCAGTCAGGAATTAATGCGGCTTTAAGTAGGGCTAAAATAAGAACCACGCCCATGGGCGGCAACTGAAATAATAACCGCAACCACATGGGCAAAAACAACAGCAATCAGGCCCAGAGTGAGGGCAACTGAGCAGCGCCGGCAAGAACATAAAAAGCCAAATTAGCAATGTTTCACATCAAAGTGCGCATTAAATCCGAGACGATAATCACACGCACACACATACACACGCAGCACAGTCTCACCCACAAACACATAGGCACACGGGCAAGACGTCGCAACGTCCTTTGCCTTTTGGTATGCGTAAGGACATACAAAAAACATAATTAACCGCGACCTGACGACAACAACAACAACACCAGTAAGAGCGGCAACGCGACGAGGACAAAGTCGGCGACCTACAAAAAGCAACCAGCCTAAGGGATTCACAAAATACACTGAAAATAAATGGTGGTTACAGGACCAAGTTGACCTTTAGTAAGAATATTATGTAACTTTTATCTATTACCCTTACTTATTTACAAGCAAAGAAAATACTCTCACGACCTAAAATTGAGTTAACCAGAATGAAAAACATAAACTTAATTAGAAAAATATTTAAAAGTGTAATCCGCTGTGCACTTGGCCAGCATTTTCCGGCCTTTTCCACACTTTTTTCCCCTGTGGCGGCATCAGGTTAATGTGACGAACACAGCTGCTGCTGTTGCCTCTCAGTGTCGCCGGGGCGATGCCAGAGGAGCTTCATGTCGAGCTCGACATTTTTGCAAATTACACACTTTTGAATATAAAGTACTCGCATAACGCACCCGAGACAGCCAGTCTGTGGCCACTTTTAATGGGCCACAGGCCGAGTTTTGCCTTAAATTTATTTGCGAACTCCCGAACCCAAAACATGGCTGCTTGGATCACCGAGTCTAGACATTGCCCGGGAAAAGTGCCTTTGGGGTGAACTCTTTAGCTCGCAAATTGCATGCCCCCACTCTGCTAGCTCTGAATTGCAATTAAGCTTGATATATGAGACGAAACTGGTTCAGCTTTCGCTTCGTTTCGCTTTGTTTCGTGTGTCGGGCTGGTCTTTGGGGTGGGTAACATGGATTTATGAATTCCAAAAAGCCATTGGGCAATGGGAGATTGGACTCTATTCCTGCTACAGACCAATGCCATTTGTAAATCAAATTCTGACCCAGCAAAAACATCAAAAAATGTTTTCAAAAAACAAAAAAAAAAAATGAAAGAAATTATTGCCAAAATGGTTGCATGACATTTGACTTGTCGCAATGGTCGTTGCCAAATTTAAGCCTCTTTCTGCCTACCTGAAAATATGAGGAAAGCTGGGAAATATGTTGGCATAAAGTGAAATGTGGGAAAATATGTGCAGCATTCTGAAATGGTGTTTACGTGTGGGATTTTTGGGAGTAAGCTTATGGTACTAGATTGATAGGAAGGCCCTTTTTCAGAACTTACATTTGAAAGGTTTTTTACAGTTTAATTAACTTTAAGACCTTTAAGGAAAGTTATGTCCCTTAAGAACAGTTTTGGGTTTACTAATACGAGGTGTGTTCAAAAAGTAAGGTGACTCTTCAAATTTCGCGAATTTCAAATTTTTTTCGTTTTTTGTTTTGTTATATTGGTACACTCTTCCCTAACATCTGTACCAAGTTTCAATGGAACATCCTCTTTTTTGGTTGTGAGAGGCGTAACATTTTTTGCTATCGAAAAATATGGATCAAAGGATTTGGATTTTTTGGCCAAAAACAACACCACAATAATGCCTCAGCCACCATATTCACCGGATTTGGCCCCATGTGACTTTTTCTTGTTCCCAAAACTGAAGATAATCGAAAAATTTGAAAAAATTGAATAAAATCACCTTAATTTTGAACACCTCGTATATTGAAAAGGTTTCGATAATCGAAAAATTTGAAATTCAAATTTGAGTCAATCTCCATTATTTTATTTACAATAACAATCTTTATTTTATTTAACTAAATCTACAAAAAATGGACTTAAATTCGATCAATTTAAGTTACAGTTCCACTTCCTTTTATTCACTTAACCATTATTATCCACGAATGGCAAATCACTCTCGAATGCAATCAAATTAAAGAGCCAAGTGCAGTTTAATCCTTTTACAAACACATTAAAATGTAGCCAGCAGCTGTTGAGCCACTGCCATTGTTCCCATGGCAAAAAAGAAGAAAAAAAAGACAGAGAGCAGAATTGGGAGGTGGAGAAAAGAAGAAATGGGGAAAGAATTAAAAAGAAAAGCGAAGCATTTAATGATAATTACAGCGACCATTAGCAATTGTCTGGCGGCAATAATAACAAAGTGAACATAAAAACCAGACTGCGAAATGAGGAGGATGGAATGTTAAGGAAAAATCGAGGGTGTGGCGTGTGGGGAAAATCAAGGGACTAAAGCGTGACGCGCTTTTCAATTACCAATGCCGCCGCACCCGGCTCAATCTAATGAATTGTTAAATTATGTAATGAAGCGTGTACTTTAGATAAATGAAAACTAATTAAATTAACTCCCGCTAGAAGCGAGCGAATGGCAAAGAGCAAAGTAAACTTTTGGTCCAGAAAGAAAGTGCTTTCCATTCGTTTTCGCCGCAAATGCAATTCAAGCGAATTTAATTTGTGTTGTTTGCAAACATTTTAGTTTCGAAATTGGAAAACTAATTGTTTGCCACAAACACACACACACACACACACACATACACTCTAACAGCCATTTGCCTGTGTAAATACCAAAAACCAGATTCGAGTAGTGTTTTCTGGCAATTAGGCACGTTCCATGGCATAAGCTCTTATGGTTAATTGCCTTTCACCTCGTACACATCTCTTATGGCCACCTTCAATTCCTCCTGCTTTTATACTCCCTACAGCCACCTGTTTTGGTCTAGTCTGCATTTAATGAGTCCTTCGATTCGATTTCGAATGGGTCACGTAAAACATTAAAATGAACGAATGACAGGGGGGGCGAGAAGGGCTCTCAAAGGTTTTCCGAGAAAACAGAGGGGTTAGAGCATCGTTATGCACATGACAACCAGATGGTAATAAATTTACAGTTTGGCAAAAATATATTAGTAGGAAAACCATAAATGGCAAAGTCATGGGGCGTGGCAATGCAGAAATTACGACATAAAATAAGGATCTAGAAAGGAGTTTAATTAAGAAGTGCATAGAAAATGTGAAATGGTACGACGATGAAAATGTAAACCGTGTGTACCGTAAACTAATAGTTTCCGGAACTAACTTATAACTCATACAATCTTCTCCACTCCATGACATTGTCCGTTTAATCTTAGCCTGGCACTTCAGTTTTTCTCCACCCTCTCAACCTCTCAAAGCAATCCTTTCCACTTGCTTTTATTGGCCGCCTTATTGTTGTTAACTTTTGAGCCCTTTTGTCACCTTTGCGCTTGATCAAATTCGCCACTTCAAATAACACTTTGCCAAATGTTGTTCTTGGTACTTGGCAGTGAGTCTGTGTATGTGTCTGTGTCTGTGTTTGTGTGTGTGTGTTGTCCTTCTGCACATTTGACTGAATTTGAAGTGTGTGCTTAACAATTTTTGGACAACTTTTTTAAATTCCTTAAGCACGTCGACTGCCGAAACTTTTAGCGTTGCCAAAAAGTAATTTTGATTTTATTAGCTGTGTAGCACCTGACGGCATTCCCTGTCCTTTCTGGCCCTCTTTGTCACTTCTTGGCTTTCAGCTTTTGGCTTTCAATTCAATTTCAGTCAATTGCGTGTTTGGCGTAAAGTTTTTCCCGCACACACATATACACCCACATATACCAACACAATGGGAAACCCGAAACACCCGAAGCCCTGGAAATTCAGCGACAACTTGACAAAGTCAACAGCTTGATGGGCAAAAGGTGCCAAGACCCCGAAAAAAAGAAAACAAAAAGAAAAACACGACAAACAATTTGTTGTTATCGACATTTGCCGTTGTCGATATTTTCCTGTCAAGGCGTTGGTGTAGAAAAAAATCATGGAAGACAAAGCCGGGAAAACTTTCCCAGTTTTCAAATGCCAAGGGCTCGGTCAGACGGTAAAAAGAATGAAGGGATAAATTAATTTGATCTCAGCCCATTTTCCCATTGAAAAATCTAAAAGAAAATAGTCAGCTAAGTGTTGGGCAACAATAAACCTTTGAAAAATATTTTGTAAGTTAAGAGCAGAGCTTCTCTTTTGATAATCGATATGAGTAGGATAGAAATGGTAGTAAGATTGAAAATATTTCTGATAACATAATTTACTTTTACGTGTTAAGGATTAACCCATGAAGTTTCACAATTACATTAAATTTTTCCAAACATTTTTTTAACTTTTCAAAGCAGTGCAGTTCCTCCCCTTTTAGTTTGGAAGTAAAAAGATTTAATTCAATTTTATTGCCAAACTAAAAGAAAGGGAAATACAAGGCTTTTTTAATCGCATTCACTTTGCTCCTTTTTATCCGCATCATCTATGTATAGTTCTTTAGCAATATAATCCATATCCGCATCAATGAGATAGCCCACGGCATTAAATTCTGCTTTGAGACTCTTCTCCCAACGTTTTATGACATCATCAGGGCTGAAGCCCATAGAACGACAGGCAATAGTCAGGACCTTATTGGCATTGCAACCGGCTAAGAGGGCGTAAGGGCCATGGCTAATGAACTTCTCACGGCCTGGGCTAAGGTCATAGATCAGACCGTTTAGGGCTGTATAGATAGGAAGATCTGGATTGGTGCCATCAAAAGCAGTTAGTTCTTCAAGAGTGAGAAGGACAATATCATCTTCCTTGGATACATCCTCACTATATTCTTCTGATCCAAAATCTTTATTGTTCACCAATTCTTCGGACTTATTTGAATCCAATTTGAGTTTGTTATAAATTTGCGACAGCTTTGTGGTGGCCAAGTAGCCCAGCATAAAAGAGATTAATGCCTGACCAAGAGGACTTCTTAGGATTCTTGAGGCTGTCTCCAAATTGGGACCCAGTTCTAAATCAAAGTTATTAAACTAGTTAACTTATTAAAGGTACATTATTTTACTTACTTGAAGTAAAAAATTGATCCAGCATCTCTGTTTTTGCTTTTTACACCTTTTATTCCCTAAAAATTATACATTTATTCTGTTGTTGTAGCTTTCGTTCTCAGCCTTGCATGAATTTTGAAAATTTTTATCAAAATAAATTTGACTGGTAACTCCCCAGCCATTTGATCATCCACAATTAAGCCGAGTTAAGAACAATTTACCGCAGTGCGGAGCGAATAAAAATGTTAAGCCACCTGCTGTCGAGCTCATTTACATCATTCAAATAAATTACGTGCACTTAGAGAAAATTGTATGTAAATCAGAATGAAAAATTACAAAGAAGAAGACAAGAAATGGACAAAAAAATCATAAGAAATCTTACCTATTAAAATCTCTAATCCTAAACTACAAAAGCCGCCCTTCTTTCTCTTATATTTTAAACATAATAATACATTTTTTTTTCAGTGCATTGCCTACATATACAGCTCGTGTCTACGCCATTTGTTATTAACATTAATGCCAAATGCTATCGTAAAAAATGGCGCATAAAAACATTTTCATGTGTGTGTCGCCAGACTGCTGTCAGTTGCTGTTTTTATCAAATTGGTTGTACTTGGACTTTAATATGACTTAATAAGCTCATTACAATTTTTTTTTTATTTTGCCTTTGCTTCACTGGTATGTCAGTGTGTACTCTGCCAACAAAGTGTAATTTTGCGCCAGGAGTGAGCTCTAGGAAACAAGGAATACATACATACGCATATGTAAATACAAGTACGACTGCAGGGCGACTGGGAGGACAAAGGAGTCCTGAGCAGATTTGGGGTTGGATTTATGCGATACCCTGGCCTTGCTCAATTGTCCGGAAAGCTGAAATTGGTTTGTTGTGGCTTCTTTTGCTTAAATTAACATTTACAATGGTTAATCACATAAATGATTGCTTTTATTTCTGATTCTTTTGTTAAAAGTAGTGCCCTGAAAAGTAGGCTAGTTTTTTTTTAATCTCATTTAAAATGAGAAAAACAAATTTGTTGATTAAAGAAAATAAATTTTGTTTACAGAGTTGGCACATATTTCTGATATTTTCTGGACTTACTAACATTTTCTTTCAATCATGATTTATCAATCATGAATTTAATTGACAAAAAACAAGGTAAGAAAGCAGCCAATGCGTTTTTTTTTCAGTTTTTCCCACATAAAAGAACCCAATGAAGTACCATCACACCCCACTTGATACCCTAGTAATATACGTAACAGGAATCAAGAGAAAACTGGCAAGCGTAGCGACGTTTCGTTTCCGCCTTATGCTCGCATTAAAATTTGCATAACGTTGATTTTGTTGCGAGCACATTACGCATACGCCGCGTGTGACGTTGGCTTAAATTGCTTTGGGCACTCGGTTTGCGGCTGGCTGCTTCCTTTGCCTGTTTGGCTTTCTTTTTTTTTTTGTTGTTATTTGTTATTTTTTTTCCTTCATTCCAGTTTTGTATTCGCTTATTTTAATTTAATAAATTAAAACATATTTCGCATGCTGTTCAAATATAATTACATTTCCTTCAGACCGCACTCGCTTCCGCTTCAGCTTTGCCTTATTTTAATTAAAAATAAAAATCATACAAATACAACAACAACAAAAAATAAGAGAGAGACGCACAGAAATCTCTTTAAAGTTCCCGTTTAACCGCCGTTTCTGTTTCTGCTGGTTATTAATAAACTTTTCAATTGCCCACCAACTGCGAGGGCAGCTGTATCGTATTAACTTTGTCTGCCAGCCGCCTCTCCCTTCCACTCACCCCCACTCTTCCTTTACAGAATCCCCTTTGCAGACTGTCTCTTGTTTGGCTTATTAGTCCCGCTCTGCTGAAATTTGCTTTGGCAAATGTCGGAAATCCGAATGCCAAAATGAAAAAAAAAAAGAAATCACGAAATTTCAACCACAAAGTGCCAAAGCTCATAAGCCCACAAACAGCATAAAAAGGCTGCGATGGTAGCAGGAGTACAAAGTATGCGGATGCTGCTTATTATTCGAGTTAATTAAAGCAAATTTCAAAAGGATTAAACTGCCAGCAGATTTGCTTAGTTTACTTTCCTGCCAGCCCAGCGAAAGGGTCTAGGATTTGGCTAATAGCCAGGTCTTGGGAAAAGCAGAAAACGTTAAAGAGTTTCCGACATTGACAACTTAAGAAAGGATTTCGTTGAAGCTTTGAACAATATTAGTTTGAAAACAGAAGTAAATTTTTTAATATAATTTTTTAGAAATAAAAACCAGTAGTTAAAATTTCTTTATTATGTTTATATTTTCTCTTTTCTAAAGTTTATTAACATAACTTTAAATTAACTTTAAACCTCTATAACCAAAAAATAAAGTTCATGGCAACCGAAAAGTTCTCCAAAAAACAAAACAAACTCCTAAATTGTTTTCCTTTCGTTTTGCCCGACACTCACCGCATTTATGCAAAGCCAAAACGAGTACAAACATTCCCATAAAATATTATCAAACATTACCAGAGAAGTCTCACTCCATTTCGCAAAACCCCAACCAATCCCCTCGGTGTCCAATGATTTATTCATTGAACTGAAGAGCCAACGAAAAAAAAAAAAACTAAAAAAATTCCAGCTCCCACACTAGTTTTTGGCCCCGATATGGCCCTCACACTCGACACTTTGGGTTTTGCGCCTGAAATGCTGAAATATTTTGCTGCACTAACCATAAATAAAAAAGTACAGAAAAGCAGAGATGAAAATAGAGGAAGAACGAAAATAAAAATCTACAAAAACCTGGCCCAAACAATGGGGCGCGCACACAAACAAATTGAGCAAGAATAACAACGAATGAAAAAATATTTCCATGCGACAATTGCAAAAGTGTCAAGGTGCAGGCGGCGCCAGCCACAACCAAAAAAAAAAATAAGGAAAATACCCAGCAAAATAGATAAAAAGGGCTGTGGAAAACTGGGGCAATAAAACGCGGTGCCAATCTTTTATAACCCCTTCAACCCATCGCCCATACAAAAAAAATCGAAAGTTTCCCCAACTTTGTGTGCTAAATTCACAGAATGAGCGAACACTTTTTATGCCTGGCATATTTTTAATGCATTTTGTGTGCGGTGTGTTTGCTTACTGATAGGGAAATATCAGTTGAATGCCAGCATTTAGCAGTCAAAGTTGCCTGGGGAACGACTGTCATTTAGTGGGTTTTAAGTGAGATTTTAAGCGGAAGCACAGAGGAAAGTGTCGGGATAGATAGGGCTGAAAAAATTCTTATTAAAGTTACGTTGTTGGTGATGAAAGCACTGCTTTGACGTTTGCCAAAATATATTTTTCAAAACAATTGATTTTTAGCATTTAAAATTTCTAAACTTTAACTTAATTTTCTCTCTGCACTATAGCAATGGCAAACTTTTGACAGATTTTCCTGTTCACTCAGGCAGCCAAAACATATAAATCTAGAAACTCCACCGTCTAGTTCTGGCAATGCATTAAATCAATATCTCACCCACTGTCAATTCAGTTTTGTTTGTTCATCTAACTGCTGCTGGGGAAAAGTTTCCCTGCATAATTGCAAACGAAGCGATGGAGAAAAATTAATGAACTTCCGAGAGAAAATGTTGGTGGTAGTGGCGGGAAATTGAGGGAAATCCAAATCCAAGGCATAAATATCATGCACGACTGCGAAATTCTCATCTTAGTTTCGAATTGATGAGAAGGAAAGTTTTTGCGTGCGCGGGGCTGGATGATTTTCCGCAAACATTTTCCGCTCACCATGGAAAACTTGCTCATTAAGGTGCCGATGAGAATTTTGCGTAAAATTCCCCAAACGATGCCAGATTATTAATAACTCTTCTGCGTGTGTAAATGTAAATGTGCCTAGGTTCGTGTAAATATTTGCCTTTTTCTCATTAAAGTTTCACGCATATATCACGCATACGCCGCGTTGTGAACAATTAGTTGCAATTTATACGCCCTTATACAACAGCCGAGCACTCGGCTTAATGATACTTAATGTGTAAATCATTATAATAAATTACATGCACAAGCGATGATAAAAATAATCCAGAGCCAAGAAAAATACAAATAAACCAACCCAATCCGCATAATGTGTGCCCCAACATGGCCTCTATATATATACTATAAAGCGCAGTGCAAACAGCGCCAAGTTGGGATTTAAGAGTGGGTCCTTATGCACGCATTAGACATAAAGGCCATAGACATTAGTGCGCATAATGAAAAGCATTTCACAGCCAAGAGTGCGTCACACGATAATGATGATAATAATGGCAATGCCAAAGCAGCCGCAACATCAAACAGACACTGAAACCGGCAAAACAAAAAAAAAAAAACAAAATAAAATCAAGATAACACTCAGAGAGAGGGCAAGAGAGAGAGGAAAACGCTCCACAAGTTATGAAAGCTTTGACTCCTAACCATCCTCAAGCTATCAGCTGTTAACCAGCTGTTGTGGCCACCAATGTTTTGGGTAATTTTCAGATAAAACCTTTCTGCTCAGAGACAAAACTTCCCTTGACGGAAATAAAACCCAAAACATTTCTCTCAGATGCTTGGATGCTGAGTTGCGCATGTTGAGAGGAGAGTTGGAAATCTGCTCTCTCACAGATTTTATAGCAAAGCTCCGGGACGTTTATCTGAACATGGACCAGCATCCTGTCCGACCAGTAGCGGAGCAACTTTGAAGCGTTACGGTTGGTCGCGATTTGCAATCGGAAAAGCTAACGTACAGGACCTCAAAAGTTCACCCGGTCGAAGTGTGTTTACATTGTTTGCAAACTAAAGTGAGTTCACAACCGAATCATCATGATTCTGCTTAAGTGTTCTGTTCGGTTTTTGGCTTAAAACTTAATTGGTCAAAAGTGCTGAGGAAAATGCAATAATTATTTGGCAACAAAAGTGATTTTTACCCAACTTAACCATAAAAAATTAAAAGGATTTTTTTCTTATAATTACAAACAATGTTTAGCTTACTTAAAGTAGGATGAGTTATGAGAATAAAGCTTAAAACTTGTCATTTTATCACCATATGTTTATGTTTATATTTAGAAATCCTGTGATTGGTATTCAAATGTCCTTTTCTTAAGCAGAACAGCTTATATTGAGTCTTGTATTAAAGGTCTCGTCCCTAATTCAAAGAAATAGTTCTCTGATAATGCATAAACAGCTTTCATTTTGAATATATATATTGAAAATCTTAAAACTATAGCCAACAGAAGCTGGTCATTTCAGTTGTAAACATTTTTCTGGCTTAGAAAAACTTTGAGAATTATAGGCCAAAATCCACAAGCCCACAAAAATAGATGGGCTAGAAAAGTCCGCCCCCAAAGATAACATTCCATAAAAGTCACCCACAAAATTCTTTACAGTACAAACAAAGTAAAATTCATGAAAAACAAACAAAAAGCGACAAAGTGAAATTAACAAAAAAAATAAACACAAAAACGGAAAAGTGCAAACAGAGAGCCAAGGCCGAAGTAAAAACGGTGAACCCAAACAAATAATTTGAAATTAAAACTAACACGAAAAGCAGATACCTCGGATCGAATCGAAGGACAAGGGAGTTTTGGACCGAAGTTTCTGTACGTGATTTTCGCTTTCCAGAACTACATTGAATAATATTTACCGGCAGATGTCCTTGCCGACTGCCTCTGATATTTCCTTCCTTCCCCCCCCCAACTTTTCTGGCTGTCAGCACTTGAACTTTACTTAGCTTCTTGTGGCACCCACCCCTCTTTTCCTTCTCGTTCGGATTTTCCCCCTCGTTTCCTAGTCTTGGTTTTTCCCCCAGCTTAGCTTAGCCCTTCAAGTGGCGCACAAGAGCTTCGATTTTCCAACTGAAGGTATGGCACTGGATGTGTGTGCGGTTGGCTGATGTTGTCACCCTGGAGGAGAGGCCTTAAGCGCTTCACTTTACATAGCAAAAACTAGAAGATTGAAGAGATTAAGCCCATACCACGCCCATACTACGCCCATACCCTGCCACCCACGACCCCAATAGCCTTCTGGCCAGCCTCTTTCGGTACACTCCGAAAATATTATAAAAATATTTTTGCAAAAGAAAACTTAGCCCTATGGTTAACCTTTATAAAAACCAAAAATTTAAAGATAAACTCAAACTCAAAGGGTAAATAAATAAATTTAAGTTTACTAAATATTTAACATAATTTTTGCTGTATATTTTCCTCAGTGTTGTTTTGGCAGTCGCACCTTCTTTTCTCTGTGATTTGTATGCGTTCGCCGCCTTTAACGTGGCCCCAGCTAATGTTGGCTTTGCCCTCAGGCAGGGGGAGCGTTGGGGAATGATGAGGCAGGGGGTTACGGGTGCGAAAGTTAACTCCGCCATAACCCCCCCATACGCCACCCGCACTAAAAACCTCGCCATGTCGCCCTCCCTTTCGCTTTGAGCAAGACGGCGTGTTTGTGGCATAAAAATAAAGATAAATGCGAGTTCTTTACAACGCAGCGCCGAACACTTTGAGTTGGGCGCCACGAAAACCTCCCTATCCCCCACCGAAAAACCCCCGTCTGCTCTGGTTACGCCCATTCACCCGTCTTGAAACCAAGCACTGTGGCCAGTGCGTGGAAAAGTTAACTAGAGTTCGGAAAATGCAAAAATAAATTTTTAAAGTTACATTTTTTTATGGGAAATTATAAGTGTTGATGCAGATTTCTTTTGCTAAGAGGATTATCTTATTGATAAAAAGAGATTTAAATATAAATATTTATAAAAATAAATAAAAAAAAATAAAAGTAAGCTTATTAAAAAAAGAGCAAAATTATCTTCCTTTCATTTTTAAGACTGAATACTGAAGACCACATATAAAGCAAGTTAAAAGTTCAACAAAAATTTCTACAAATATTTACTTTACTTTCAAAATTAATTTAAAATATATTTTTGTCTAATTTGTTCCAAATAAAAGTAGTGATAATTACTTTGTTTTTTTGCAGAAGGAAAAACACAAATTTTTCTGAAAAAAAAGATCATTAAAGATAAACATTTGTGACATTTTTCCATGCAAATTTTCACCCATAAATGTTGGTTTTTCAAAGGCACCTTAACAACTTCCACCCAATTCACCTGAAAATGAAGCAGCACTTCAATTAGTCAAACTGGTTTTCCAACATTCTGGCCACCACTGTGCAAGAACACACCTTGTTTTAAGGTTCTGGTTAAGGGGCGGGCTTCCAGGGGGGGTGATACTTTGGGTGGCTCTGTGGCTGCTATCAAAAAAGCGTCACCGGCAGGCCAAAAACTTGTGGATGGAGTTGGTCTAGGAGTATAGTGGGGAGTGGAGTGGTTTTTGCGGTTGCGAGTTTTAGATTTCTTCTTCTTTTTGCCTTTTCCTCGTTCTATACGAATATATACGTGTGGGTATGTGTGTGTTACCCCAAAAATGCGACCAAAGAAAAGCTACAAAAAAAAAAGCACACACATTTCTAAATATACAAGGAGGGAGGAGAAGGAAAGTTGCTTTGCATAGAGCGAAAAATGTTTTTCGCTATGTTTATCTGCAGCGGCCCATCTCCATCTCGCCTTTTCCCAGCTCTGTTGATATTAGCGCTTGTTTATGGGCCCCGTGTATATGTATTTTTATACCCAGCATTCAAAGAGTTGGGGGTTATAGGGAGTTTTGTGAAATTTGAAAAGGAACTGAAGAAGGCGATGTATGTATATGTGTATGGGATATATAAGGCTTATATTTTTGAATATACATATACAATTTAAAGTTATTTCAAGTTCTTTGTTACTTATCAAATGTTATTTAAGGCTCATTATGATAAGAGAACCGTCCGGCGTGTAGTTTCCTCTTACATCTGTTTTGCCCAAATAAGTATGCTTTATTTTTTATAACTCAGTCAGGTATGAAATTTTCGAGGCATTTCACTGATATTTTTTCTCTGCGTGTGTGCCACGCTTCGTCGCATTTTAAATTAAGCTTCGTTTTTATTTCTATTTACATTTTGCTCTTTCACATCGCTTTTTATTTCTGCTCCTCCTCTTCATCTCCGTCGGCTGCTGCAACTGTTTGCCAAAGGAAAAGAAGCAGCAACGGAAAAGTTTTCCCAGACATAGAGGGGCCACACCCCGCTGCCCGCTGTATATATATACATATTTTTTTTATTTGTTTTTCATTTTCACTTTTATTATTCCAACATTTCTACAATATTTTTGTTGATGTTGTTATTTATTTTTGGGCTGCGCCAAGTGAAATGTTTGATTTATTTTTTATTTGCCATTGAATGTGTTTATTTATGTGTTTCGCCCTACGTTTTTGCTACTTCGCTCTTTTGCCGGCTTACTTCACTCCATTTTTTGTACTCTCATTTCTTTACAGCTTTTGCCCAACGCCGCGGCGTTTATTTGCCAGTTTCGTATGGCTCTTATTGTAAGCTTCAGTAAATTGGGAAATTTTTAAGTGTTTTTCTTTTTTTTGTATTTTGTATTTTGCGTAAGCCCGGCATAAGATTTGTTTCATTTTGGGAATTAGCTTTGTGAGCATGATTTATGACAGGAAACCGTCGGCACGGGGAGCTTGAACGTTGATCTCATTCCGGATTACAGAAATGAGTTTTTCTATTTGAATATACAATTTTCGTTGGAAGGAATGCCGGGGATTTGCAACAAGCTTTGTCAAAGAGAATATTAAATATTTTATCAACATTTTTTGTTGCCAAAAAAGAGCTTTAGATTTAATCGCTTTATTAAACCAATAAAATTTATTTGTATATTTCTCTCTAATTGCTTTTACTACCCCTTTGATAAATTTATATTCGTCTTAAATAAAATGAAATGCAATATTGTTACACTCTCAAATTGAATTTTAAGAACTTTTGAAGGCTAATCCTATTGATTAACAAACACACAAAAGATTTTAATAAAAAGTGTTGGAAAAACTCTGCTTTTGAGGTAAAGTAATTCGTATGAAATATATTTTAAAGGTAAATTTTTGTAAAGTAAATACCGAGAACCACTTCTAATTGAAGCATTTCCTCTCAAAGAATCAAATAAAAAATCCCCTTGAAGTGCAGTCTGGTCAGCATAAAGCAAAAATGTGGCCAATTGCGGAGCATAAATTCATTTCTCAAAGGAAATATGAAAATTCCCGCAGTTATCCTTCTTATGGTCTTCTTTTTTGCTATAGCAATGTTTCTCTGTCTGTGTGTGTGTGAGTGTGTGTCCCTCAACCGCAAAAAGTTGATGAAAAATCTGGTAATAAGAGGGGCTGAAGATGCGAAAAGTTCGGCTCAGTTATCGGGACTTACCACTGAGTTGGCTTTAAGGAGACTTTAAAAAAAAAAGAGGGGAGCAAGAGGAGCCGGAACTAAGCGGATTTTGATTTGTTTTTACTTGCTGCTGCTGATGCTGATGCTGCTGCCAGCCAAACAAAGAAATGTGCTTAAGTTGTTTGTGCCGGAAAAGTCCCTGATGCTCTTAACTTTCGCCCCTCCGGTAGGGAACCGAAAAAAACGTTTCCCCTCTTAAACACAGAATTGACATCCATTTGAGGACTGGAAATAAGTTTGCCCTTACCTGACAGACCGCAAAACATAAATATACTTTTCAATATGGCCCCAGCCGCAGCATCAAATTGGATGAGTTTTAATTAATTTCGTCATTACAATAATTAATTGAATGCCTGCTGGTTGCCGCTCAAGGACATGCCGGAACTGTGGGCGTTTGGGTGGGTCTTCCCGATGCGCAGCTGCAACAAATTGCAATATATTTTACAGCTACTTAGTCGGCATTACACATGCACCACAGGAGGCAACTTTTCGACGCCACTGTGTGCGACTAGGTTTGATTTATAGCCAGCCATCGAAGCTCGTAAATAAGCAAAACCAAAACCAAAACGGGATTATATTCGGTCCTTTGGCGTGAGACGGAAGCGAACTAATGATTTTCCATAGAACCCACTTTATTTGATATTTCATTTAATATTTACCGAACTTTTCATTTAAATTTTGTATTCATTGGTGCTTTTGCTATTGCTTTTGGTTATTTTTATTGCGGCTTTCTGGTTGTGGTGGGAATAAAATCAATGGTTTTCCATCACACTATTTGAGATGCTTTATTTAATGCAGAGGAAGCTTAACCAAATACATTTAATTTGAAACACACAAGCTGCTTTCAGCTTTGGCAAATATTATTTCAGAGTTATTGTTATTAAAAAGATACAATTGAGATTCCTTTGGCTGTAAGTTTAATCTTATTTATTCATTATCAGTTGCATTAATTTTTATTTTATATCCAAAGATAGCAATAATGAAGGATTAAAGATAAAAGTTTACGTTTTCACAGAGATTTAAGTCAATGCAAAATCGCTTTCAATTTATCCAAATTAAATGGATTCTGCCCACTCAACTAAGCTACCCAATCAGCATTTGCTCGGGCCAATTTGGTTTAAGCAGCCGTTAGACTTCAGTTGCCTTACGGCCAAAAGCCACATTCAAACAGAATATCTGAGATGGCTCATCTCATTCTGGTCTGGTCATATGAAACCATTTTGCAGAGCCTGCACACAGACCGGTTTAATCTGGGAAAATGTGCCTATAAATAGCTCAAGAAAACTCCCCTCGCCTCTTCCTCCATCAGGATTATGGCTTTTCCTGATAAATCTGTCGCACATAAAGTACCACAACGAACGACTGTTGAACTAGATTCAACATTCATGCCCATCCACACATGAAACGAAACAGGAAAAAAAACTATGCTATAAGTGAAGAAAAAGTTAAAGAAATCAGTAATTAAGATTTAAGCTGTTAGGATTTCGATTAATTAAGCTTTAAAGAGTTTCCAAAGGATTTAATTTTTACTAAAGATTTACTAACATATTCTCTCAGTGCACTCGAGTAATTCATGGGGCGACTCGACGTCTTCAGTTGCGTTGACAAACTGCAGAGATAAGCGTGCGAGAGGAAGGACAAAGTACAGGGACAGTCATGAATGTATGTCCAGCTCGAGTTCCACTCAAGTTGGCTCGATGGTAGTGGGTTGTCTCGTCCAGTCCACTGGGCGCAATCAACTGTGAGTTGTCAGCTGCCAGTTACCAGTAGGGGGCAACAGTGGGTTAGGCGCGATGAGCCGCAAATCAATCGGGTCTCTATTTGAAATTCCCCAAACCGATTTCGGTCTTCAAGTGCCCCTTGAAATGCTTTGTCAATTATATAATTCCAGTCTTACTTTTATCTGGCCATCAAATTCAATTGCATGTTTTAGTTATTTTACTTTGTCATTTATTCAATTTGACCAATGAATTATGAATGGAGTGACCTGTATAATAGAAATCATTTGATTAGCTGACAAAAACATTCGCCATGCATTTATCGAAAATATTTGCCAAAGTGTCGAGTGCACAATTTTGTTGCATACTTTCGAGCGGGAAATCTTTTTCAAAAGCCAGAAATTCGTTGAATAAGTGTACTTGCCACTTTATTGTTGGCAAATTCCGAATGCAGATGTGTGTCTGTGTGGTACTACTTATAGATTTTAAATTATTACGTTGCCAGCCATTATAAATTCTATTTGTGATGTCAGATTTTCAAACGAGCAAACAAATGTTGTAAAGCGAAACCCGCTGAAAAACAAATACGATTAAATGCAAATATATATAAGCCAGAAAAGCCAAACAACGAAAAGTCAACCAGCAATTGATTCATACATAAAATATGGGCCTGTTTTTTTTTTTTGTATTTTTAATGTGTTCAGCAAATTGAGGGCTGTGGCCGCATGAATAAAAAAGAAGGAAAACCAAAAATATATTGTACTAATAAAATGTATTTTTTCTATTTACAGATTTGCATTCGCCATGAGCGGATATTTATAAAAATAGGAAAAGCCAAACAAAAATAAATATACAAATTTGTGAATCGAGGAGAAAACCATTCCAAACGGGATTTTTAAACTGAGAAAAATGTGGAAAATCTGCATTTTTACATTGGTAATTGCGGTGGTGGCTGCAACAACAACGGAAACCATAACAAATGACTTGACGGCAAAGAGCAACCGAACGCTGTTGAAAATTTCCACGGACGAGCCGAGGGAATTTTCAACTGTGGGCGGGTCAACCTCAACGGCCACGCCCACCACGACGGCCACAACCAGCACAACAACAACCAGAGCAACAACTGTATCCGAGGAAAATGTAGAAACACCAACAACACTCGGTCTAATGACAACCACAGAAAAGATGGAACCAAACGTTTTGGGTGAAATAGGCAGCAGGATCCGGGATGCACTGCATCGCATTAAACTGAGCGAAAAGCCAGTGGATGGTACAACGACCACTGAGCAACCAGAAGCCGTGGATCAGGATGACCAAGAGGAGGAGGAAGTAACGCCAACAATTTCACCGTTGCAAATTCAAATGCAGGCCGCTGCCTCGTATCAAGTAGCCGAAACGTTAGCCGATTTAAATGAGGAGGAACGAGCCAGATACGATGCCATGTTGGCCCAACAGCCCACGGCCAGTAAACTGAATATAGTCGATCTATATCCACTGAAACTTGATGATTTTCAACCAATAATACAGAATGACAATGATGAGTTGATCAAACAGAGGACCATCTTTACACAGCCTGAAAATGCCGAGGAATACAAACAGAATCTAATGCCCAATGAAGTGGAGTTGATGGTCAACAAAGATGTTGATGAGGTAAAGGAGAAAATCAAAATAAATAAAGAAAAACTAGAGAGGCCTACCACAGTGAAACCCACAACCATTCGACCGAATCTAGGAACCACAGCCGATTTCACAGGCAAACTGCTGGCCGATCAAGATGATCTTATAACCGAGATTGAGAGTAAATTCCAGTTACATGAGACAACAACGAATAAGCCCAAGGTGACGACGACTAGGCAGCATCCTGGGAATACATTTATCGATCGACGGGTTAAGAAGAGCTTTGAGTTTCCCATGCAACATCGTGCCAGCGATGTGATGGCCATGCCGCACATTGACTTTGCCAACACCAAGTTCCAAACGGATGCTGATGCTCCAAATCCGCCAGCCTCGCATCCCGAATTCTCTACCACAAAGTTCTACAACAGCAAGGAGCTGTACAACGAAATGCTGCTGCACAATAAGCGCAAGTTAATGAAGGCAGCCAAGGCTGAAGGCAGTCCGATAAAGTCAGCGGAGGATACAACTCGGGCCACAACAAACTTGAACGTGACGCCCGAAGGGAAAACTTTTAACCCAACCACAACTACAACGACTGGAACCACCATCTTGACAGCAACAAGAATTATACAAACAACAACAACAACACCAGTTAAAGTAACAACTTCAACTGCTGAGTCAACGGCCACAACAGCAACAACCACTGGCAGTCCAACAGCAACAACAAACGCTGGAAAATATCAGAAAGAGCTTAAGCGTGCCAAATTATTGCTCAAGGTCCTGACACCGCCAAAGTCGAATGACAACAAACCGACAGTTGCCGGGGAATCCCCATCCCCATCCCCATCCCTATCATCCTACTCATCGACCACTACCACCACGATGGCCACTGTCCTGGCCACGGCCAGGACTCGTCCTTCACCGGCTAATCCCACTAAGACCGCCGCCTCAAAGCCAATTGCCCGGCCGCGCATCCTGAGTCGCCTGCAGGAGAAAATCAATTCGCTCGAATGCGAGATCCCCAATGTGCCGCAGGACTCGCATCTGTGGCGCGGCAATGAGACCCACGAACTGCTGCTGCCCATTGTGGTGAGTCCACTTCAAGAACTTTCCATAGACTTAAGTTTATAAATCAGGATCAGAAACTCTGTTTTAGTAGCTTTATTTTCGGAATATATTTTGAAACCTTTGGTCAGTTGTTATTTTGCTAAGCGAACTTCCTTTCTTTCTCTCAGTGTAGTACGTTTAAGGCTTTATCAAAACAATTGAGGCCTTATTAAGTTCTTATCATTAGACAGACAAAGGGACACACAGGAAGCGAATGAAAAGACAGCTTAACAGCTGAATGGAATGGGAACACACGGCGTATGCGTGTTATTCGAGTAAGCGGGTTAAGCAATTAGCTGGTGGTTAAGAGAAAGGGAAAAGAAAAAGGGAAAGTTGGGCGACTGACTAACGGACTCCATTTACATAATACGCCTGCTGACGGCTAATTAGTATGGAGGAAGCTTAGTTTTCGAGGTTCTACGAAACCTACAGATTAGCCGAAACGGAAACGAGAATCCCTAATGAAGCTGCTGAAGTTGTTGGAAAAGATTGATTAGGGGGTTGGTTTTGAGTTCATCGTGCCACAGCCTCGGATAGCAACCCAAACATTTTTTAACTTTGCCAACCGAAAACCGACAACCGACATTCGATATCCAATTTCCCTTTCGAACAACAGAAACTTGTTAAAACTGTTTGCTCGGCTAATTGAAAACCTTTTAGAGCTGAGACAATTCAGCAACCGAAGGAAATCAATGGCGACCGGAGCCACATAAATAAATAACAAGCACATTTTAAGTTAACATAGATGGGAGACAGTTGAGTGGACAAGAAAAGGACAACGGACTTGGGAGGAAAAAAAGGATTCTTCGGCAGGAACCCTGCAAATTTAATCCCCCGATAAGTTGGCCAACAAAGGGAAATTATTGATCGCCATTTTATTTGGCCATTTCCTTGGCAGCATGTGTGTGAGGGAAATAGAGGGGTGGGTCTCGACCCTAAACAAGTTGACCGGAAACATGAAGGTTTCACTCTATTCCTTATGCAAAAAAGGACAAAACCTGAGGGTATCCCTACAGTCCGTTTCGTTTGTGTATGCTTCACTAAAGGCAGGTGTAAATTTGGATTATAATAAATCAGTCTTTAGGGCTGTATGCTAATGAAATGTTTTATTAAAGGGTTTTTTCTGTAATTATTAAATTTTATTAAAAAATGTGATGGCCTATTACAAATTAATGAATTATTTGTGGTCATTAAAGTGAAATTGGATTACCTAAAAAATTAATTAAATTCCATTAAATTCCATAAAAAATGTTGAAGTAGAAAAAAGGTATTTACTAATATTTGTGGTAATATTTTTTGACCCTTTATTACTTATTAAAGGTAATTAATGAGTTTAAATCATTCTATTAAAGAGGCGACTTTACTAACTTTGAAACGCACTGTCTCCGCTCGGCTGAGAAAAGGGTTATCCATTTCTTTATTAAATCGCATTTGTTGTTAAATCACGAATAAACTAGACAAGGGACTCCAAGCGGAGCTCATCTGGCGAATTCCGTGTGGGTCTGGGCTTTGGTTTGGAGTCAGTTTTCCGTCCTGCACATATCCCTTTCATGTCCTGTTTATATTGACGTAAATCAAGCCATTTGCCTGGCCAAATCACAGCTGCTGCTGCCCCTTTTGGCAAATATTTAAATTCATTTCGTAGAAAATGAATTCACCCTTTTCATCGGCATCTGGAGGAGTTATGTGAATGTGTTTCTTGCTTTTTGTTTTTGTTTTTGTTTTTGAGCTGAAACCTTTGACTAACTGACTGAGGACCAAATGTTTAATTAACATTCGGCCTGGATGTCTATTCAAAATGTTTTCTGTGTGTTTCGAACCGAAATACCATTAAAGTTGATGGCCATTTGAAGGCTTTTTGGTTGGAGATTCGTTTCCTTTTGTTGGTGAGAAAAATGGAGCAGCCCAAAAGCGGGCAACAAAATTGATTTCCTGTTTACCTTTTTGGTCAGCAAACGGCCAATGGCAGCTCGGCCATGAATTTAATTAAGAAGCACTGCAGCATTATGCAAACTCTGGCTCTCGGCCACCTGAATGGAAAATACATATACATTAAGCATTGGCATAATGTGTACCTTGCATAAAATTAATGCTGACTTCCTTGGGCATTTCGAGGTCCTTTTCTTCTCGTACCAAAGTCCCAGGTACCGAGAAAAAGAAAACAATTAAAGAAAACAATTTTTGCATAAAAGGTGAAAGCATTTCTTC